AATACTTAGAAAAATTCTAAAAAAAAACTGATAAAACTGTTGAAAATTTGCTGCAGTTTTGCAAGTTTTGCACAAAGTTTAGAAATTATAAATTTATGTTTTTTGTTGTGGAGTGAACCATATTTTTATAAAAAATTGCCAGAAAAATATTACAATAAAAATTGTTGCACATATTGTAAAAGAGCAGCTGTGTCAATACTTTTTGCCGGCAGTGTATATACCTATGTTGGAATTTCGTTTGGTGAAGCTGATAAAGAAACCTGTTAAAATGGATGGCAAGACGCGGAAATAGCGTTACTGTATTCTAGAATAATATCATTCAAGAGTTAAAAATTCGTTTTGAAGCGGAATAGGAAAGAAGATATTTCTATAGAGATTTTTTATTTAACTTTTTTATATCGTTACTATTTAAACTCGGGTTTCAGCTTATATTATATGTATCTAGTTATAATGTATACTTTAGGCCATATGAATAAAAATGAGCAATTGCTTTTGCTTAAAATTTCAAACCTTTTAATCGATTTATTCAAACAAAATTGAAGTAAAAACTGTGAAATTTTAAGAAAAAGCAATTGCTTAGTCATCTAGTTACTACGATCAAGAACGAGCCACTGTAACAAACATAATGTTCTGCAGGTTAAAATAGAAGCCCTGGTTTTATACAGGTGTGAATTCCAGAAGAGCTTGCCAAAAAAAAAAACTGAAAAAAAGTCTTCAATGTATATTAAAATATTTCTAAAGCATTGAAAAAAAGGTTGCTTCATTTCACTTGAGTTCTTTTTGAATTATCTATTTATAGGTTTGGAGTTATTTCATACTGTTGCGTAGAATTGTATAAAATAGGAGTTCCCGTAGCAAAAAGTGTTCTGAATTACGTTTATTTCGACATTAAAAAATTTAGTAATAATGTTTCGCTTGAGTCACAGTTTTCAAATGAGTAAATTAATTCTATTATTTACAATTGCCAACAATAGAAGAAATAAAAACCGAATTAGGTGCGGCTGCAAAGGGGGCTCAAAGGTGTGGGCACAATATGTGCCGCCGTTGAGTATTTCGTATTCTGCAACTTAACGGAAAATTCTTTATCTTGAAGTGATTATTTGTTTATTAGAAATGTTGAGCGTATTGGGTATGTGAATGTAATTTGTGGTCTAATAGCCAAATTAAAACGTTAGCTGAATCGAGACCATGAGAGCCACATGGGCCTATCTACATTTTTTTAAAAATAATATGAGAAAGAAGGATCTATAAATAATAAATACGTTCTTTTATTGCAAAGTTATTTGCAGCTAACTGATGCTACTTTTTATAGAAATGTATTTTTAGCTGTACCAAATTTTTTTTAAATGTCACTTAGGCTACTCTGGCTCTGAAGGCATCAATTGTAAAAATTAAAAAATAAGAATGCACCAAATGAAATTAGAAAAAAGAAATTATCTGGACCGGGATTAAAGGAGACCGTAGAATACTTTGTGTGATTGCCCAGCCCTCGCAATGATGAGGCTAAATTCACTGGGCAAACCATTACTGCAGAATAATTCAGAGTGTCTGCTGCCTGCCTGCCTCTGCACGAAGTGCTGAAATTTATTAAAGCCGACCAACGGTTGCGTAAGTTGTGGAATCAAAATGGCATAAACACTAAATTTGTAAAATTTTTGTAAAAAAAAATATATAATTTTTTTAATAACTTGTTTAAATATGTATGTAATAGAAGAAAACCATGCAAAAAAATTACTTCCGCCGGAAATCGAAGCTTCGAACAACATAAATTCGCAAATCAATTAAAAAGCTTCACACCACCCTGTTATAATACAATTTCAAAAGCTCAAAACGTTTATTTCCTGCCAAAGTTTAATAATGAAAAAACCACTATAGCTTTTTACAAAAATTAAGCTTGCAAATGACGCCATAGCAAGCACATGCCAAATGTTACCGACACACGCACATACATACATACATATCGTCGTTTAACGTACAAAACCGCGTATGTGAGGTTGCATAAATTATTTTCTAGAGAGTAAACGCACTCCCATTTCAAATGGTTCTCTTTTTTATAAAGCAATCGCATGCCTGGCTAGTATATTTCAGGACCAATGGATAAGGATTGAGCCAAGAGCTGGTGGGAGCAAATCCAATTTTTGGCAGCAAATGTCAGTTACGCTGTTCAGCAGAGTGACGTTGCGCGGTCTTGTACTTTAAACGACGGTATGTATTTGTGTATGAAAATAAAAAAAGTAGAAACAGTCAATAAAAACAGAACGAAAAACTAAATATGGCATTTGAGAGAGTACACCCATGCGTAATTGTGTGAGTGAGAAAATATTTATTTTATTAAAAAAGCAAAGGTATATCGCGAACAGTGACAGTGGTGGCGGGTTAACGAGATTGTTCTCTGCGCTATATTGAGACTTTCGTTTTTGCCTACTTTCCACATACATACTTTTCCTGTGGGTGGACGCCAACCAAAATGACCTTGGCTGTGAACATTTTGCACTGGTATTTATGTAGTTTGAAGTGCCGCGAATCTGTGCAATCAAGTTTTCACCCATTTGCAATATACATACGAGCATTGCAATCTACATACTAATACAATATGTACTAAGAGGGCATTAAATTAAGAATGTTTAAGCGTCTTTCAAACAGTGGGATTATATATATGTATGTACATATGATTACCATTCATGAACCAAAAATACAAGATCACCTAATCAAAGAAGCAAGAAAAAAGTATAAGAATGAAAACAAACAAAGAAAACGAAAAAGGCGCGGTGATTGAGTGCGATTAAATTGGTATTTATTATAAAATATACAAAGTGAAACTTGATGACAATTAGCAAAAAAAAGTTCATAAAATATGGTTTTCATGATTGAAAGTGTTTTACAATCGCATATCATTACCACGGGTCGATTTTTCAATGCCAACGTTCTGGCCACAAACGTGCACCCACTTTTCACGCAAATTTACGCCTTTTGGCAAACCAAACATACGCACAAACTTGTTCCGATCACACAGCACTTTATTTTATATCATAGATATGTAATAAACCAAAATTTATAATTAAAATCGCTGCAGAAAACACATTCAATCGCTAAAAAATCACTACGAAGAGGTAGAAGACGGTGTAAACAAAACCGAAAAACGTCAAAAACGCTACGAAAACTTTTTTCTGAAAATCGATTACAAATACAACGATGGCTGATTAGGTGATCTGTAGTCGTTGGTTCATGATTACCATCCATACATACATCTGTACATATGTAGATATGTATGCGTATTAGGGCTGTGCGATTATTCGATTACTCGAGCAAGTTTTGATTACTCAAAACGATGATTAATCGAGTTACTTGAAATATGATTACTCAAAAAAATTAATTTTGCTCGTTAAAAGAGTTTGCTTTGGAAAATGCTTATTTTCTTTTTTATATTCTGTATATGAAAAAAATATATAAATAAAGTATGTATTTCATTTTAATTTTTGAAAACAGAAATGTTTTTTTCAAAGTATCAAGGAACTTCAACTGCTTTATATGTATGTATGTAAAGAGTACTTTGAAATGTTCATTACTCATTTTATTCATAATGTTGATTAATCATAAAGCAAATTACTCAAATATTTTTGTTTTTGGTTAATCAAAATCTTGATTACTCGAGTAACTGAACTTTTGAGTAATCATAATTTCCAATTAATCGAATAATTGAGTTATTTACTTTATGATTAATTAAAATTTTGAATAATCAATTAATCGCACAGCCCTAATGCGTATGGTTTTGTGGGTTTATTGCATTTCCATGAAAAGCTATAGACAGAACTATGTACATTTATGAATTAAATGGTATTTTTTTTGCAGAATTAAAAAAAAAAATTGCATTGGTTCTCTGAATGGTTTTGTTTTCCACCAAAAAATTTTAAAAGCTCTTGAGTTGTTCTATATTTGCTACATTTAAAATTTGCACAAAATTGCATTCATTTTTTAAATTAATTTTTTTTAACCAAAAAATTTTAAAAGCTCTGGGTTCTTCTTTCGAAAGGGTATAAACAATCTATGTGGTTGCCATTATCTCGCCCACTGATGAAAATTCATCAAAAAACTATGAAGCAGAAAATTTCAAGGGAGTGTAAATTAAAAGTGGCACTGGTAGTATAGGGTGTGCATTAGAGTGGATCGAAAAAAATAAATAAAATTTTCGAATATAAAATCTTAATACTGCGGAAAAGTTGCGTAACATGATCACATTGAACCGATCGGATAATATTTACGGTCGTTCCGAGGGCTTAAAAGTTTCAGAAAATCTCCCAAATTATGGTTTCTTTATTTAAAGGTGCAAGTCGGGATTTTTTTTTCAAAAATCAACGCATCTTGAAACTTGCACTTTATTACACTAAAATTTAATGGGCTACAAAATTGCATACTCAAAATCTTTCTGGAAAGACTTTAAAACAAAGGCTCCTGGCGCTACCTTGAAAATTATTCGATCCGGACAACGGTTCAATGTGATCATATTACGCAACTTTTCTGCACTATTGGAATTTCGAAATCGAAAAATTTATTTTTACGCTCCATCCTAGTATGCATTAGGTACTTAAAAATATCAATATCTAAACTTAGTAAGGGACATCCTCTTTTTTTCTGCTACGCACAAAATAAAGATATCCACGAAAATTTCAAAACTTAAAAAATAGGGTATGTTTTTTTTTTTAATGGAAATTTTATAAATTTGACATATTACCGAAACTGATTGCTGCTCACTGAGTTAAAGCTGGTCAAAGTCAAAATTTTGTTGAATTTTTGCGAGTTAAAAAAAGGAAAATATTAAATATTGCCAAACATAAATATTTTAAATGTAGAAATTTTCGTGAATGTCTTTATTTTGCTCGTAGAACAACTGTAATAGCTATGCGCCCGTCTTTGCAACAATACCATCTGCATCAAATGTTTCATAAACCTTATTTAAGCTCTTTAAAAGTAGCATTTAACAAAAAATAGTTTTTGCAACTCACCCCTCTGGAATCACGGAATAATATGGCGGCATGATGTGGATCCAAAGTACCGTCTCCACGTAAGCCTCGACTAGCTGCACCCAAAGAAGCACGTCGTTTCTCCAAATCGGCTGAAGCGCGTCGCATGTGAGCACCTAATTGCATGGAATATTAAAAAATAAAAATATTTAAAATTTGTATAATAGTTTGCGAATGAATAGTTATACTCAAAGCATGTAGTGTTAAATTAAAATTACAACAAGTAACCGCTTGGCATAATAAAGTAGTAAAAGTTAAATCGTAAACGATTTTAGTGTGCTGTAAAAAGAACGTATGTATGTATGTATGTACGTAGATAACATAGTTACACAATCAATGTGGATAGCAAAAACGTGAACAAGCAAAGTTTCAAAGTTTAGCTTTCCAGCTGACGTCAGCTAGCAGTAACACCACTTCCGTGCTTTTTTTTCGCAACTTACTCTACACCTCCACCTCCACCTCTTGCCGTGTGTATCTCAAAAATTTACCTTCTTTCACAATCTTCTCATAGATTTTGTATGTCGCATCACAATCCTCCAATATCCGATTCGGTCGACTCAGCGTATTCACATCCAAACTCTTCGAACGCGAACGGAAGTTCTCTTGCGGATCATTTTGCGGCGACGTACAAACGCTGTTGGTGTCATGTGATTTGCGTGGCCAAATGTGCACTTTCTTGGAGAATTGTTTCAACATCTCCTGTATAGAATGATGATGGTGATGATGATGATGATGATGCTGGCCATGGGGATGATGCTTTGATTTCTTATGTTCGCTACGCGGCAATGAATTATCGCTATCCTCATTGGTGCTTAAACTCTTCGCAAAGCTGCTATTATCAAAACGTTGTTTATATGACGAGCTGCCATTGTCCATGGAGTGGTGTCGTGTCTGCGCCGCATTATAATCGTCCAGCGATGTATAGGCGGCGCCCACTCGATGGAAAATTGAATTGATGCTCGGTCGTTCTGGGGTACGCGCACTGCTCGCACCTGTATGGGTGAAGTACTGATGATCGCCTTGCGATTCATAGATGTCATCGAGATCATGTGGGAAGTAGCCAGCACCCTGTGTGGAGACTGGCGGCGAACTGGAACATTCGTTCGAGTAACGGCGTAGGCTCTACAAAATTGGATGTGATTAGATAAATTTCAATTGACAAATGAAAATTGCTTAGCAAATTACGCTTACAGCATATACGGCTGGGCTGTGAGATCGATCGAAGTAGTTACGTTTCGAGGAGGCTTGTTTGAAACTGTTGCTATAACTTTCGTAGGAACTGCGTGTCATGTTGCTGGCATTCGATGGCGAGTTGCGGTAGTGATTGTTGAGCGATTTATTGCCTTCGGGTACAGGCTGAGGGCTGGAGGACTGTAGCAATTTATCGATTACCTTTTCTGGAATGTGTTGGAGGTAAGTATGTGAAAAATATGTTCGAAAGGCGTACCGAAATGTGGATCGGAGAAAGGAATGTGCGCCAGAAAAAACCTAGCAATTTTTTTTTTTTGCTAACATAGCCACAATAAATTGGGATATTGTTGAACTCTTAAATTTTGGGAAATATTTACGAAGCAGATATCGATTTCTATTAAGTCTCTTTTGGACGAAAGCATGGCCATTAACTCTTATACAAAGAAGTAATTGAGAGATCCGCACACTATTTTGTGGAAATCGCTACAAACTTTCTACACCGACGACTCACAGACTGAATGATTCAGTAAAGCTCAGCGGATGCTGTCAACAAAAGAACCAAGTGTTTCCTGAATAGGCCAGAAGGAAGGCTTGAGCTACGCAGCATCATGAAGACGGCATATAGGTACCACATGTACATAGGTAACATCGATGACCCAATGTGTACATCTAGCTTGGAGGATGAATGTAACGGGTGATTTTTTTGAGGTTAGGATTTTCATGCATTAGTATTTGACAGATCACGTGGGATTTCAGACATGGTGTCAAAGAGAAAGATGCTCAGTATGCTTTGACATTTCATCATGAATAGACTTACTAACGAGCAACGCTTGCAAATCATTGAATTTTATTACCAAAATCAGTTGGCAGAAAATCCGCTTTTTTATCGACAAATTTTGTTCAGCGATGAGGCTCATTTCTGGTTGAATGGCTTCGTAAATAAGCAAAATTGCCGCATTTGGAGTGAAGAGCAACCAGAAGCCGTTCAAGAACTGCCCATGCATCCCGAAAAATGCACTGTTTGGTGTGGTTTGTACGCTGGTGGAATCATTGGACCGTATTTTTTCAAAGATGCTGTTGGACGCAACGTTACGGTGAATGGCGATCGCTATCGTTCGATGCTAACAAACTTTTTGTTGCCAAAAATGGAAGAACTGAACTTGGTTGACATGTGGTTTCAACAAGATGGCGCTACATGCCACACAGCTCGCGATTCTATGGCCATTTTGAGGGAAAACTTCGGAGAACAATTCATCTCAAGAAATGGACCGGTAAGTTGGCCACCAAGATCATGCGATTTGACGCCTTTAGACTATTTTTTGTGGGGCTACGTCAAGTCTAAAGTCTACAGAAATAAGCCAGCAACTATTCCAGCTTTGGAAGACAACATTTCCGAAGAAATTCGGGCTATTCCGGCCGAAATGCTCGAAAAAGTTGCCCAAAATTGGACTTTCCGAATGGACCACCTAAGACGCAGCCGCGGTCAACATTTAAATGAAATTATCTTCAAAAAGTAAATGTCATGGACCAATCTAACGTTTCAAATAAAGAACCGATGAGATTTTGCAAATTTTATGCGTTTTTTTTAAAAAAAAAAGGTATCAAGCTCTTAAAAAATCACCCGTTACATATGTATTTAGAATGGACCAGCTACATTCTGTTCTACAAGGCAGTGCACTAAAAAAGTGTTTTTTTTTTAGAGTCACTCCCTTCTCTCGCCAGAAAAAAAAAACGGTAAAGCATTCTTCTTGGATTTATTTCAATCAACGGAGTCCCAAAAATAAGTGCAATTAGAAATAAATCAAGTATTTGAACAATTTTAGCCTTACTTAGGCGAAAAAGTACCGAAATTGCCCATTTTTTCATTGTCATATTTTTTTTTTAATAACTTCGGGAAGTTTTTTAATAGTATGTTCATGTTAGAGACAATGAGAGTTGGCATCATATACAATATACCTGTGAAGTTTCAAGAGTGTGCCACCAAATAAAAATAAAAATGGCAGCATGCAGAATATCTGTCGCAGCTATTTTGTAATTTTTAATATTTAGCGATTTTTTCCGTTTAAAAACTTAAGTTACATCAAAATTTTAATATTAAACGGTGAAAATCTTCTTCTTGCTAAAGCGAACCCATCTAGAGTAATGAAACTAGTGCGCCACCAAATGAAAAAAAAAAATTTCATTGCTTATCCAATGGCTATAATTTACGAAACAAAAATTTCAATTTTGCAATTTTTATTGGCACACTCAAAATTCATTCTAAATTTGTTACATATATGAATATACATATATATTCACCAAGAATACTGTATAAAAATATTCCACGCCAATATTTTATTTATATATTTATTATTTAAAAAATATGACTTTTTAAGTTAAGGCCTGTAAGTAAACTTGTTAGCTGACTGTGATGGTGCTACGCATACATTACATACACAACTACGGATATACGAGTACAAGTTGTTATTTTTACTTTTTTCGCGATGAAATCTTGTTCTTTATGCAAAACTGAGGATAATGCATTGTCTGAGAAAAGTGTCACACCATTTTCGGCCAAAAACTGGTTTTGTATGTATGTACATTAGGGTGGTCCTTGGAATATCAACATTTAAATTTTGTATGGAGCATCCCTAGAAAATGTCAAAATTTTAAATATTTTTTTTTTTGAAAAAAAAAACAAAAGTGTACTCCATGATGTTGATATTTTTTTACGACAAAATTTTGTCGAATTGTTCCGAATTAGGAAAAAAAAAAATTGTTTCAAATTCTGGGAGCGATCCCTAAAAATTTGTTTTGAATTTTTAGATTTCCGTGGAAGGAGTGCACCATGATCTTGATGTTTTAAGGGCCACTCTAATGCACATAAGGTCCTCTCTCTCTGTCAGAAGTTACCATTTTTAATAGAAAGCGATCCCATACTTTTAGTGTTACTTTCTCGCTCTGGTCGAATTTTTATTTTTTGACAGTTTTACGAGGCTTAGTCTGAGGACAATGGGAGCGGACCTATAAATAAAGTCCGAGCATGAATACCCCTAACATTACTGAGCTCCTGCCTAGTTTGTAATCTTGCTCCGATCCATTCCTGCCGCTCTGCAGTATTTCACTTACCCTGCGACCAATTTGGCGATTTGGAGTTGGTCGACGAACCCGAACTGCTGCCCGAGTCAACGCTATGCAAGCGAATTGTTGTGCCATTATTGCTGCACGAATCGTTGCTGTCGTCGTAGCTAATGCTGTCGCGCGGATAACTATTGCGAGCGCCAAAAGGTGAATGGTTGTTGTGGTGCGCATGATGGCTGGAGCAGGCACTATCTGCGCTCAGCTGTTTTTCGACAGCATGCTGTCGATATAAATGCGTTATGCCATGCATATTTAGATGAGTGTATTGCTATTGATATTTTTATTTGTTTTTATTTTTGCTGTTTTATATACGAGTATATATTTGGATTTTTATTTAATATTTCTAAGTAACTTAGATTTTCTTTTTGAATGATTACGTATTATATTTAACTTTGTTAAATTATTAAAAAAATTTCACAGCAAAAATTATGAAATCACACTATGCAGCGGGGTTTAAAGATTGCATTAAAAAACTTAAATATTCTTTTTGTAGCATACAAATACGGGCGAAGTTATGAGCTTATAAAATCACAAATTGCAATCACGTTTTGTCTGGGTTTAGTTTCTGTTTGATTTAGAAGTTTTTGTTTTTTATGTTTTTTTTCTTTGCTGCTTAAAGTCACATATTGTTATTGTTGTTTGCTTACAGTTAAATTTAACTCAAATGATGTAAAACACGTTTTTTGTTTCAATACTTCAAATCAGCATTTGCTGACAGGGTGACGGCCAATGTCGGTCACCTTGCAATTTACTTTTACACTTTTGCAATTGCAATTGTTGTTGTAGTTGTTGTTGTTGAGTTTAACACAAAAATCGCTGCTATGCATTTGCACAACAAAAAAAGAGTTGCTCATTAATTGCTGCAGCAGAGCAAATAGTTTTTTTTTTTTGTTGCTGCTCCTACGCCGTGAACGTTGTGTTGTTGTTGCAGTCGCCCGCCCACTCGTTATCACAAATGACAACGAACCAGGGAACGAGTGAACTGTAAGAAAAAATCAGGTCGAATAGCCGGCATCCGATTTCAAAAGCAACATACACTAACAAAAACGGCTGTGATAGTGTTGTTGTGGAGCCTCAATACTCCACCAACGGTTTAGGTAGTTAGCGTTGCCGTTGCAGTGCTTGCGCTCTCACTACTACGAGTACTTCTCAGTTACTTCACTGTTTATATTCGTTCGCTCACTTCCGCTGTCCGTTTACTATGAGTACTTGGAAAGCATAGGCTCACAAATGTAATGTAAAGTGGACTGCACGAATGCAGACTGTCGTGTCGTGTGGTTGTTGAAATGCACACTTGCACAATTTTTTTGTATTTAATTTTTGTTTTTTTGTTTTTCAGCTTGCGGTTGCACTCGCTTTATTGCATTTGTTACACCACTCGTAGCAAATACGACTACTATGTTGGCCGCGCCGCTATATTATTGCCAATGCCGCAGTTGACTTTAATGTCGTCGCTGCTGGCTTTGCTGTTGGTTTCTCCTGTTGCGTTGCTGCAGTTGGTTGCTGATTCTGTTATAAGTGCACCATGTGGTGGGTTGCCTGTATTGGTATTGCTATTCAATAACAGCAGCTACAACAATGTTTATTTCACTGCGCTCGCTCGCCTTTTTTGCGGTTGCCACTGCCAATGCAGTTCGTCGATATTGTAATCTGCCACGATTTTTGTTGATTCTGTTATTTCTACGAATACTTCAACTATGATTCGTGTTTTTGTTGTTGCACTAAAGTTGTACGTGCTGCAGTTGTCAAAGTGACAGTTGAACGACCTGTAAGTAAGTCAAAGTTGTAGACAACATAAAATTGTTTGTGATTATTTGTTTCGTTTGTACGAATACACTCTCCCTCTTTCTCTGTTTCTCACTGTGTGTGTCGTGTCTGTTAGCCGCTTTTATGTATTTATGTATTTACGTATGTATGTACATACATTTGTAGATATGGATATAAATAAGTTAAGGCAGAAACGTAAGTATTTTCACTGGTTTTTCGAACATTTTCATTTTATTGCGAATACATATGTACATATGAATTGGCAGCGGAATTCATTGCAATAAAATTAAAAAAAATGCTATGCAATACAATGAAATTAAGGAAAAAATACCTATCGGTATCTTAATGCAGAAAGGCCTTAACTTATCTAATAATTTTCTTTCGAAATTCAGCGTTGCACAAAAGTCGGCAGATTACTCACTAAGGACCTACACTTCCAGCAAAAAGTATTAGCACAGCAAATTTTTCACAATATACTATGCAAACGTTTTTTTTTCTAAGATTTTTCCGCCAATTTTTTTTTAAATATGGTTCATTCTACACATTTTTATAAAAAATTGGCGGAAAAATATTAGAGAAAAAATTTTTGCGTATACATATTGTGAAAAATTTTCTGAGCCAATACTTTTTGCCCCCTGTGTATGAAAATTGGAAAACAATTACTACATCAACAAATTAGTTTAAGTGTTCAATAAAAACCGATATTTAGAAGAGATTCGCAAAGATTTTATTTTTTTTTATAAAACTTTATAGCTAATCCGTAGAGAAACATACATACACTAGGCGACAAGTGTACACCTTATTCTATTATAATATTCACAATTATTTTCATGAAACATTTTTCGCATTTATTATTTATGAAAATATAGTTCATTCTAGAATATAAACCATATAATTCAAATTTCACACTTTATATAAAGTTCACAAAAGTTAAAAAAAAAATTTCATCAAAATTTTCAACTTTTTATTCAGAATTTCGGCTAAATAGTCCCGTTGATTTTTGAGAACCGTTTTTTTTTGTGACGGATTTTTGCAGTTTTCAATAAAAGCATGAATGATGAAATAAAATTTGGGGGACCGTTAGCAATAAAATCTAAAAAAAATTAACGCCAGTTTATGTAAATTGGATTTGTAATGTATGTATATAAAAGAAACGCAAAATCCGTCTCCAAAAAAAAAAATCTCAAAAATCAACGCGATTTTTAGCAGGTTGAAACTTGCACTTCATTAGACTAAAATTGAATACAAAACTGTTTATTCGAAAACTTTCTAAAAATTCTGAATGAAAAGTGGAAATTTTTGATGGATTTTTTTTGAATTTTTGTGAAGTTAGTATAAAGTGTGAAATTTTGATTTATATGATTTATATTATATAGTGAACTATATTTTTATAAATAACAGGTTAAAAATAAAAATTCTGCAACTACTTGAACCAAACCTCTATATCCCATAACGTAAGGTTCGATGTCATTTGAAGGTCGAATAGGGAAAAATTCATTGAATAAACCTGAACTCATGCAAGTAAATAGCCATTATGATTTTATGTAAGAAAATATCCTGCCACGTAAAAATTAGCATACCTGTATTAATATTTTTTTCAATCGAAAACTTTTCAGCTCTTCTAAAAATGTTTCATTTTCAGTTAGTTTAATACTTTTAAACTAAAGCTTTCTTTACACGTTTTTCGTTGGACAAAAATATTGAAATACTTCACATAAATGGTGCTTAATTTATTTAAATTCGACTTTTGAAACAGATGGCAACCCTTCTTCAAAAATATGTTCAAATTTTAAACCTCTTTCGCCCCACTATGTGTTTAATCTATTCCTATTTCAATTAGGTTATGAATTATGAATTATGAAAGGTGGCAACCCCCTTTCCAAAACCTAGAAAATATTTCAAATATTAGTCAGAGTTATAAGTAATTCGAATGCCAAACTTCATCTAAATTTGCTCAGCAGTTTCTGGTTGAAGAGATGTCTCGCATGGTATTGGTTTTTCAAATCACCCTGTACGACTAAAAAGTTCTAGCTTCAAAAAATAAAAACTTATTGCATATCTAAAGGCCCTTTAATTTAACCACTGATTTTGACAATCGAACACGCGGTTCAGATATGATGACATTCACAAAAAATGCCTTCGCATATAAATATGACCTTTCGAGTAAGCGGCAACCCTAATCGAAAATATTTTCAAACTAATGCTTTTTTTAAACTCTTTCGTTTCACACTCATATTTTGATATTTCATATAACTTGTGCATAATTTAAATAAATTTGACTTTCTAAACAGGTGGCAACCCTCTTACATATAGTTAAGAAATAAAGCCTTTTTAAACCCATCTTAATTGACAGCCACCCTTTAATAATTAATTTAACTTATTAAATAACTTGAACTTAATTTTTTCAACATGTGGCAACCCACTTCAAACACCCTAAACATATTCTTAATATTCAGGCTAAGCATTTATTAACATTCTCACGTTTGACTACCATATTTTATTGTATATTATACTTAACTTTAATTAAAATCGACTTCTTAAATGGGTGGCAACCCTTTTAAAAAACCTTGCGATTCACGTTGTGATATAAATATGTACATATGTATATTTCAATTACCTAATTTCCTTAATTCACGTTGAATCTCACTTTTAAAAAGATGGTTTAGAAAGAAAGCACTCTCAAAACCCTTTCGATTGATACCCATATTTCAATAATTCATTTGATTGATTAAATAATTTGAGTTAAATTTTTTAACAGGTGGAAACCCTTGCATCCTACAGTCCTTACATATGATATATTTATGCCTAGGACCATCGGCGTAGCCAGGATGAAATTTGGGGGGGGGGGGGGGGGGGGGTCTCGACCCTATTAAGCTGGCATTTCACGGTACTATTTTATATACATATATAAGGAAAATTTGAAAGTTAGGGGAGGGCTCGAGCACCCCCCTGCCCCTACCTGGCTACGCCCATGCCTAGGACTTTAGTCTGAAATATCCAGGCATAATTTGCGGGGTACTCTATTGCTTATGCGATTTATGAATTGATGATTTATTTGAGATTGTTTATGTATAAGTGCATACATATGTACATACATATTTCCCTATAGAGTTCGTTTCTCAACATCCAATCATGTTTATTTATTTTAACATATGAATTTCAAATTATTTTCTATCGATTAAACAACACCTTATCAACACACCTTATCAAACTTAACCTAGTTTTAAACAATTTGAAAGCAAATTAAGAACAAATTAATCAATAGTACGCAAAACTAACAAATTTAGCTGTACATACATAAGTGTGTACATTAGGGTCGTCAAAAAAAGTAAAGTCGGAATTTTGATGCTATCACCCCCCAAGGATTGTTCTATATCGTAAAAAGTATACCCCTATTTTTTATTTTGAGATCGAAAAAATATTTGGAGGTCGCTCAAAGCGCTTTCCTTGTATTTTATATGGAGTAAAAATGTGTTTCGTAGAAATGGTATAAAATTTTTTTAAATCAATATTTTTCGATCGGAAAACTCACGTTCTCTTCAGGAGACTTTCAATAGTAATCCCATTTTTTAATACTAACGATTTTTTATTCAGACTTTACTTTTTCACATGCATTTCTGGACCAACCTAGTGTACATATGCATGCACGTACACGCGCACTGTTAAGAATCAAATAATTTTTTGTCTACCCCAAATATAAAATTAGATGACTCAGATAATGTGCTTGTGTGAGAAACCGCGGACATTGATATGAAATTTCACATATGTGCTTATGTACATATGTATGTACGTATGTACTTCAATGAACCGATTTTTAAAACAGATTACTTAAATTACTTTTTGTTTTTTGCTTTTTTATAAATGTATTGGTTGTTAAATACCTACTACATACTTAGTATAGCAACGAAGGCCATTGGCTTTGCAATAAGTGAAAAAAAAATTGTGTTTCGTTTTTCATTAAATTATATATTTAAACAATCGAAATGTTAAAAACACACATAAATAGTAAGCAATTCTGTCTGAGGACGTCAGAGCGGCCGGCAGGTAGGCGCTGGCAGTGGCGGCACATTGCGGGGAGTGTGGCGATAATTTGCGAAAAAGCGCTCGTGTCGCTTTGCACGCACGCCTGCCAGTCTGCCCTGTTGGCTAAGTAAATGAATAAAATGTACAATATATTTATAAAAACATTTTATGTGTAAAAAGACATACATACATACTACATGCTTGTACATACGCACAAATGCATTTATGTAGAATAACGTTGTTTCGATCTCAGAAAAAAACAAAACAACTTATATAAGTATCTATGTATATCTTTTGCGTACATTTCTGTGCATTATTTACGACTTGTATTTAACTTTTTAATCATTTTATACATTGTATGATAATAAGTAGGCTTTTGGCTTGGCTTTTTTACTCCACTCTGTATTTCGTTGTATGGAAACTCTGACAGAAATACCATGTCCCATTCCACAATAAGATGTAAATTAATATAAGAATAAAAGCAGCAAATAAGTCGTGAGGAAATATGTAAATATGTGAGCAGCACGTGTACTTGAAGGCCTTCTTGTTTCTGCCTCCGTTTTTCGTAAGATAAAAGAAAACCCAGTACGTGTTGACCTAATTTGTTTACAACGCACCAGCGCGAATTTTAAAATCGACGTCTCTTTTCGTGCGAGATATTTATGAGAGATGTCCCAAGTAAGTCAATGCGGCATTTACTTGCGCAGGCATTTACTTGCGCTAGCATAAATCTTAAAAATTAATTCCGCAAAGCTTAATTCAGCAAAGGCATAGACAAACGGCAGCGTTGATCTGGTTCAGCTCGTACATTCGGAATTAATTGCAGTTGATCCCAGAGTTAATTACCAATTAATTAATTACCAGTGTTATTTCGGCGGAAAAATTTAAATTTGAATAATAAATCGGTTCATGAGTATTCCTGAAATGTATGAGGCTGTACCACTGTAACCCGTCTTGATAACCATCGATTGATTTG